AAGTAGTTCTAAAATAGAGAATCACAACTTCACAAGTAGTTCTAAAATAGAGAATCACAACTTCACAAGTAGTTCTAAAATAGAGAATCACAACTTCACAAGTAGTTCTAAAATAGAGAATCACAACTTCACAAGTAGTTCTAAGAATAGAGAATCAGAACTTAACAAGTAGTTCTAAAATAGAGAATCACAACTTCACAAGTAGTTCACAGACCCGGTGGGTAGCCCACTTCAACAACAACAACAAAAGAAAAGAAAGAAAAAAAGGGAGAAAAAAAATATATATAAAAAAAGAAAAGGAAAGAAAAGAAAGAAAGGGGTTAAAAAAAAAAAAAAGAATTGAAAGAAAACGGAGAAAACTTGCGAGCCAAAGATTTGATGTAGTCACTTACAGCTCTCCTCGACTCTCTCCTCTCCACCTTCCTACTGAGGGGAACCAGCTTCTTCCTGTACACACACAGAACATAATGTGTACATAGTGGATAAATATAGAGTAATGCTATCTTACAATGTCAGTATACCACATATATATATATATATATATATAACAATACATATATGTGAGGTTTCTAATCGATACCATTTTGTTCAAGTCTACCGTGTCTTTTATTCTTCCATACTTACAAATTGTACAAACTTCACCTAAAATGTTGATGTATCAATGTCCATAAGGCTAAAATCGGAGAAGTAACTCATTTTGTCAGCGCACTTCACACATTGATCATATGCAATATAACACTCCAATAACAGGAGGAAATAACACACAACAAACATTCTCATATTATGTCAACCAGAAAAAACCCCCAAATGTGGTTTATAATTCGCTGTGATCACCAGACAAGCCAGAATCGCGTGAAATAAGTGAACAAACTCAGTGTAGCCTTGTGAGTGTTGGAGAATAAGGCAGCACGGGGGGGTATAGAAACAGACGGCGAAGGTTAAACTGGCCTTCCGAGCCACGACTAAAACCTAGATCTAGTCTGAGCAGGGATCGACGCTACTGGTGGGTCGACACAGTGGACGGAGCTCCGGACATGTACGACTCACACTCATCGTTCCCCGCTCGAAACAGTGAGTACTGAAACCAACGTATATAGACCAGCGAGTAGAATCTAGGATTAGATAGCAGCTATCCTCTCATTACACCAAATAACATTTTTAAACACCGAAATAAAATGACTTCTCTATGCAAAACAAAAGACCACCCCTCCCCACACACACACACACACACACTCACATACACTCACACACATACACACACACTCACACACACACACACTCACACACATACACTCACACACACACTCACACACA